TTTACTTATTTATTTATTCATTTTTTGAGTCTCACTCTGTTGCCCAGGCTGGAGTGCAGTGGTGTGATCTCGGCTCACTGCAACTTCACCTCCCTGGTTCAAGCAATTCCCCTGCCTCAGCCTCCCGAGTAGCTGGGATTACAGGCGCACACCACCACGACCGGCTAATTATTTTGCATTTTTAGTAGAGACAGGGTTTTACCATGTTGGTCAGGGTGGTCTCGAACTCCTGACCTCGTCATCCGTCCGCCTGGACCTCCCAAAAGGCTGGGATTACAGCCGTGAGCCACCGCGCCCGGCTGACTCCCATAAATGTTTAAAACAAGGAAAGAGAAACTGAGAACGCCACTGACCAGAGGTCTTGCCATTCATGAACCCAGCACCTGTGGTCCCTGCACTATCTGGGAGAGACGCGGCGCTGCAGGTGCAGAGCTGCCCAGAGAGGCCTCCAGGCCAGGGCACAGTCACTGCGCAGGAAAGAGACAGGACGCCTGGGGGCTCGGCTGTCAGCGCAGCCGCCATCTTATGCCTGAAGGGGACTGAGGCCGAGCTGGGCAAGGAGAATCGGGGCTCAGATTGTCGAGCTGACTGCGGGGAGGCCTGAGTGCAGCCACAGCCGCTTCCCACCGGTTCCAACCAGCCCCTTCCCCTCTCTCGGGATGTCCCACCGGCACTCTCACCATTTCTAGGCTTCCGGGGGACCTAACATCTTAGCTGTGGGTCTTCCAATACCTGCAGGTCACAGGGCCACAGAGGCTGGGCTTCCAGGAGCAGAGGACACAGAGAAATGAAGGAGACAAGCAGCTTCGGCTGCAGCAAGAGTCAAAGGCCCCGCTAAACCCGGAAGCCGCCCTTGTCCGCTTCAGCTGCGTGCCTGATTGGACAGTTCCCAGCCCAGCGTCCCTGATTGGATAATGATTAAAACCCCACCCCCTCAGGTCGTGAATGACAGAAGATTTGATCAGACGCTCGGCTAAATGAAGACCAGCAATCTAAGCTGCAGCCTTTTCAGACCGGGCTCTCTACCTGAGCTAAGCCAGGCCCACCCAACAGGGTATTTGCCTTTAACCTTCTGTGTAAGGTCATATGCCTTTTAAGTAATATACTATATGGTTATTCAAAACTAAAAATATATATAACAATTATTTTAAAATTTCAGCTTTTATAACCATCCTAGTTTTTTGAGAGTCATAGTCCCTACCCCCGACAGCCCCGGCCCAGAGGGCATTCAAATCTTCCTGGATGGGCTTGATGCCAGTCACTTATCCGCTCTTTACTCAAGGCCTGGGAGAGTGGTGGGGATTGTAGATCTGGGGTGGGAACCATCTCACACCCAGAGATCACCTGGCCACAGGCCAGCAAGCAAGTCCAAGCAGCACAGCTCTAGACACTGAGCCTCCGCACCTCCAGCTGCACTTTCTAAATATATCAAGTTGTTTTGTTTTGTTTTTTGAGACAAGACTTGCTCTGTTGCCCAGACTGGAGAGCAGTGGCATGATCTCTGCTCACCACAACCTCTGCCTCCCGGATTCAAACGAGTCTCCTGCCTCAGCCTCTTGTGTAGCTGGGACTACAGGTGCATGCCACCATGCCTGGCTAATTTTTGTATTTTTAGTAGGGACATGGTTTCACTGTGTTGGCCAGGCTGGTCTTGAACTCCTGACCTCATGATCCATCCACTGTGGCCTCCCGAAGTGCTGGGATTACAGGCCTAAGCCACTGTACCCAACCTGTATATCAGGTTTTTAAAAACCATAAAGAAACAAATAGACACGAAAAGAGCCATTTTGATTGAGGAGAAAGTGGGAGCCTAAAGCAGCTGACCCTCCAAGCCACACCAAGCCCCAGGCCAGTCCAGACCAACTGAACACTCCAAGGCCACATGACAGGTCCCACAGGTAATTGTCAAGCACTGTGCTAGCTTCTCACAGAGTCTCGCAATAATACCTCCTCACCAATACCCTGTGAGGAGAGGCCCTGCCTCACTAGAGCACAGAAGGTTTCTAAGCTCTTCCCAGGAAACGGTTAGCAAAGTGTGGAGCTGGGGGAAAGCCCAGTCAGAATAAATGACTCTTCCTAGACTCCATCCACTTTTCTGCATGGGGCCCAGAGGTGAAGTGAGCAGTCTCCTAACCCCCTCCATCCCACTCTCTCCTCAATTCAAGTGGTTATTTTTGTGTTTGCTTGTTTATTTATGGGATTTTAATAATCTAATTTTTTATTATGAGTAGTTTCAGGCTTGTATATGTGTATTTCTGCAGACTTTATTAAAAAGAAGAGGATTTAAGACAATAACATTTTTAAAAGGTCTCAGTGGGGAATAGACTTTCATGTAACAAACGATGATGTTGACATCCTTCTGCTGCCTTTGTGCAAAGTATAAATAGTGTAAGAATTGCAGGGTGTGGTGGCTCATGTCTGTAATCCCAGCACTTTGGAAGGCCGAGGCAGGTGGATCACAAAATCAAGACATCGAAATCATCTGGCCAACATGATGAAACCCTGTCTCTACTAAAAATGCAAAAATTGGCTGGGCGTGGTGGCACATGCCTGTAGTCCCAGCTACTCGAGAGGCAGAGGCAGAATAATCACTCGAACCTGGGATGTGTAGGTTGCAGTGAGCCAAGATTGCGCCACTGAATGAGACCCGGCTCAAGAAGAAAAACAAAATAGTGTGAGAATTGGCATGTGCTGAGTTTGAGAATTGGCATGTGCTGGGTTGTGGTTTCAGTGTGGGAGGGCAGGTACTTAAAGATGGAAAACCAAGTCTCACTGAGCTGTAGGAGCCACATTCACCTTTTATCACATTCCTCACCATGGTCTTTCACTTTTCTTCTGTGCTTGAATTTCTTTCAACATACATTTTTTTAAGATGGATTCTCTGTCTGTTGCCCAGACTGGAGTGCAGTGGTTTGATCTCAGTTCACTGCAATCTCTGCCTCTCAGGTTCAAGCAATTCTCCTGCCTCAGCCTCCTGAGTAGCTGGGACCACCAGCATTATTATTATTATTTTTTTTTAGACAAAGTCTTGCTCTTCTTGCCCAGGCTGAAGTGCAATGGTGGGATCTCAGCTTTCTGCAACCTCCACCTCCCAGGTTCAAGCAATTCTTCTGCCTCAACCTCTGGAGTAGCTGAGATTACAGGCACGTGCCACTATGCCTCTCTAATTTTTGTATGTTTAGGAGAGGCAGGATTTTGCCATGTTGGCCAGACTGGTCTTGAACTCCTGACCTCAGGTGATCCACCTGTCTGGGCCTCCCAAAATGCTGCAATTACAGACGTGAGCCACTGCTCCCAGCCAACATACATGTTATTTTGATTACATATATATAGGGTATATATATGTGTATGTGTATGTCTATGTATATATTTTGTGTGTGTGTGTGTGTGTGTGTGTACACACATACAGGTCTCACTCTGTCACCCAGGCAGGAGTGCAGTGACCAAATAATGGGCAGCCTCCATCTCCAGTGATCCTTCCACCTCAGCCTCTCGAGCAGCTGGGACTACAGGCATGCAACACCACACCAGTCCAATTTTAAAAATTTTTGTAGAGACTGAATCTCACTACATTGCCCAGACTGGTCTTGTACTCCTGGATTTAAGCAATCATTCCACCCTAGCTTTCCAAACTGTTTCAGTGATGGTGTTAGCCATCAAACCCAGCCAAAAATATTTTTTAAAGAACTATTACAACGAAATTATGAACTATGGTTGTGCCACTGCACTCCAGCCTGGGTACCAGAGTAAGACCTCGTCTCCAAAAACAAAATGAAACAAAACAACTTATGACCAAATTAAACATCTAAGGTTGTGTCATGTGTGTCTCCTTGTCTCCTTCCTGCCCTGTAAGCGATCAATGTTAAATATAATGGGTATTAGGAAACTGTTAGATATTATTAAGAAATTCCTGGGCCCGGCGCGGTGGCTCACGCCTATAATCCGAGCACTTTGGGAGGCCGAGGCGGGTGGATCACGAGGTCAAGAGATCGAGACCATCCTGGTCAACAAGGTGAAACCTCGTCTCTACTAAAATACAAAAATTAGCTGGGCATGGTGGCGCATGCCTGTAATCCCAGCTACTCAGGAGGCTGAGGCAGGAGAATTGCCTGAACCTAGGAGACGGAGATCGCGCCATTGCACTCTGCACTCCAGCCTGGGCAATAAGAGCGAAACTCTATTAAAAAAAAAAAAAAAAAAAAAAAAAAAAAAAAAAAGTCCGGCGGGTGGGGAACATGTCGGAGTCGGAGCTCCGCAGGAAGTGGGACCGGTGTCTGGCGGATGCGGTCGGGAAGATAGGTACTGGTTTTGGATTAGGAATTGTTTTCTCACTTACCTTCTTTAAAAGAAGAATGTGGCTATTAGCCTTCGGTTCTGGCATGGGATTAGGAATGGCTTACTCCAACTGTCAGCATGATTTCCAGGCTCCATATCTCCTACACGGAAAATATGTCAAAGAGCAGGAGCAGTGACGTCACCTGAGAACATCCCAGTGGGAGGACAAAAGAAATCATGTTTATTCCTCAGGAATACTGAAGTGCCCTGGAGTAAGCTGCCATTCTTCTGTAACGATGTTATCCGTGATGCTTTAAACTCCAGCACCTGGTTATATATTTGAAACCAAGTCTGTTTCTTGTTTTGTATTTTCTCTCTGGAAATTGTAAGGAGGTGGTCTTAAATAAATTAAACAAAAATAGGAAAAAAAAAAAAAAAAAAACTCCAAATGTTCTTTCGTACCCTTAAGTAGCAAATAGATGCACTATGCAAGCAGACCCAGGTAAGGAAAGAGCAAGTGCATTACAGGTCTCAGCTCACTTCTTAATCAGCTGTAATTCCTTGTGAGGGTTATCTTACCTACTTTAGCCTGTTTTCCTGTCCATAAAATACACTTATGCTGAGGGAAGCGGGTGAGATACTGGGAGAGTGCTGGTGCTTTATCCAATCAGTGGCGCTGGTGAGGGAACCGTCCAATCAGACGCGCATTTGGAGAGGAGGGCGTGGCCTTCGGCATATGGCGGGGTCTTTGTCTCTCGCTACCTGCAGAGCTCTGGATCTGTCTCTGCTGTTCCGCGTCCTACACCTTGAGATCCACCGTCCCCCCTCCCCCGCCCCGTGACTCTTTCACAGCCTCTGTTGCTCTGTGACCTGCAGGTCCTGGGAGACGCACACCTAAGATGCCAGGACATCCTGGAAACTTGGAAAGGGTGAGTGTGCGGGGTTGGACATCCCAAGAGAGGAGAGCAGGCTGTGAAACCAACAGGTCCGGCCTCCCCACAGTCCGCTCCCGGGTCGCGGACCTGATCCCCGCTGGCGCAGCTCCGCCCCAGGCCCTTCTAGCGGCAAGATGGCGGCTGAGCCCGCCGCCAAGATCCCCGAGTCCTGCCCGGTCCCAGCTGCGCCCCGTCTGGAGCTCCCTGGGCAGCTCTGCACCCGCAGCCCCGAGTATTTTCCACATTGCCCAGGGATGCCAGGCGAATCTTCAGGACAGAATCCCGACCCGGTGTTTGCGTGGAAGGAACTGCGGCGGGTGGAGTTCCCAGTCTCTTTTGTTAAACATTTGGTTTGAGACGGAGTTGCTCTTCGCTCAGGCTGGAGTGCAGTGGCGTGATCACTGCAACCTCCGCCTCTCAGGCTCAAGCGATTCTCGTGCCTCAGCCCCCCGAGAATCTGGGATTAGAGCCTGCGCCACCACGCCTGGCTAATTTTTGTATTCTAGTAGAGAGAAGTGGTTTCTCCATGGCGGAAAGTGGTCTGGAACTCCTGTCCTCACGTGATCCGCCTGCCTCGGCCTCCCAAAGTGCGATTATAAGCCTGAGCCACCGTGCCCAGCCTCTTCTCTCAAAAATTAAAGGCAGTCAATGTTAAAACGTTAACCAGTTTATTTGAGCAGTGATCGGTGAAATGGAAAGCACCCAGCCATAATATGTGGCGCACCTGAGAGGCATAAAGGAAAGGTTTTATAAAGGGCGAGGGAGAAGGCAAACGAAAATCAAGAATTGTGTGGTTCAGGTGGAAATTTCCTGGTGATTAAAAAAAAAAAAAAGAATTTTGTAGTTTTCCCAATAATTCCCTGGCAGCATTTTAATTTTATGTGTATATGACAACTATTATGTATCCAACATTTGGATTACACAGGTGAACAGGGTTCAACCTACCTGCCCTGTAGGAGTTTGTAGTTCATTAGTGTGTACAGGTGGGTAAATGATTAATTTCTTCTAGAGAATAACACTTGTACATAAAAAGACTTGTATTGAGGGGCTGAATGGTTATAGTGATCAGTTGTGCCACTACCATAGCAGTGGGAAAATCAAGGAGGGCTTTACAGAGATGGTGACATTTGAGTGTTGATCAGGGTTTAATAGAACTTTTTGTGTTAATGCTGCTGCTGCAAAGTATACCCCCCTCAACCCCCCGGCCCAAGACGGAATCTTACTCTGTCACCTAGGCTAGAGTGCAGTGGTACAATCTCAGCTCATTGCAACCTCCACTTCCCATGTTCAGACAATTCTCCCACCCCAGCCTCCCAAGTAGCTGGGATTACAGGTGTGAGCCACTGCACCCTGCCCCAGAGTAAAAAATTATTTTCAGCCTGGCCAACACGGTGAAACCCCATCTCTACTAAAAATACAAAAAAATTAGCAAGACATTGTGGCATTTGCCTGTAATCCCAGCTACTCAGGAGGCTGAGGCAGGAGAAGTGCTTGAACCTGGGAGGCAGAGGTTGCAGTGAGCCAAGAACGTGTCACTATATTCCAGCCTGGGCAACAGAGCAAGACTCCATTCAAAAAAAAAGGCTGGGCACTGTGGCTCATGCCTGTAATCCCATCACTTTAGGAGGCAGAGGCATTTTGGGAGGCTAAGGTAGGCAGATCATGAGGTCAAGAGATTGAGACCATCCTGGCCAACATGGTGAAACCTGATCTCTACCGAAATACAAAAAATTAGCCAGGTGTGGTGGCTGGCACCTGTAGTCCCAGCTACTCAGGAGGCTAAGGCAGGAGAATCGCTCAAACCTGGGAGGTGAAGGTTGCAGCAGTGAGCCGAGATAGCAACACTGCACTCCAGCTTGGGTGCTAGAACGACACTCTGTCTCCAAAACCAAAAAACAGGTCTTGCTGTCTCTAAACTGGACCTGGTGACCTTTTTGGAGGGAAGGAAAGAGCGCTGGACTGTGAAGAGTGAGGAGACCGTAGCTGCACAGCCAGGTAAGTGAGAGTGAAGGAAGTAGGTGACCTGGGTGAGAGGTCCAAAGGTCAAGAAGCCAGATTTTTTTTGTCTTCCATTATTTTATTATAATATATGTATATATATATATATATGCAGATCTGTTTTATGTACAACCATTGATTCTACTGAATAATCAGACCAAGGGATTCTGGTAATTTTTCCTCAAATCAATTCAGGTGAATTTAGATATTTATGCACTTCACAGGCTATCAAAACTTGAGATTTCAGTATCAACTTCAGTTCTGAGGCCATACACACAATTCAGAATGTACATTAACTAGGTTAAGGTGATAAACGTGGGCTCAAAGAAACCACAGGATTCAGAAAATGAAACCGTGTATTTTGTTTGCATGTGAGTCACAATGTCGACAGCAAGTATTTTGCATATCTCATAGCTCTTCAGTTCAGAAGCATAGCAGCTTCTGAATATCTAAGGCGATTGCACAGTAGCGGTGCAAATAGCTGGTGTGGGCTCCTAGAGGCTCCTCCCAGGACTAATTTCTTCTCTGCCTCTCCTTTTTTTTGAGACAGAGTCTTGCTGTGTTGCTCAGGCTGGAGTACAGTGGCGCAATCTCGGCTCACTGCACCCTCTGAATCCTGAGTTTAAGTGATTCTCATGCCTGAGCCTCCAGAAAAACTGGGATTACAGCTGTGCATCACCAAGCCCAGCTAATTCTTTGTATTTTTTTAGTAGAGATGGGGGTTTTTCTATGTTGGCCAGGCTGGTCTCGAACTCCTGACCTCACATGATCCTCCTGCCTCAGTCTCCCAAAGTGCTGGAATTACAGGCGTGAGCCACTGCGCCTGGCCTCCTTTCCTATCTTCCTCATTTTTTTCTCCCTTTCTGTCTCTGTCTCCTTCTGTGTGTGTCTTTCCCTCTGTGTTTCTCTTCCTCTTTTTTTTTTTTTTTTTTTTGAAACGGAGTTTCACTCTTGTTACCCAGGCTGGAGTGCAATGGCGCAATCTTGGTTCACTGCAACCTCCGCCTCCTAGGTTCAAGCAATTCTCCTGCCTCAGCCTCCCGAGTAGCTGGGACTACAGGCATGCTCCAACATGCCCAGCTAATTTTTGTATTTTTAGTAGAGACGGGGTTTCACCTTGTTGACCAGGATGGTCTCGATCTCTTGACCTCATGATCCACCCACCTCAGCCTCCCAAAGTGCTGGGATTACAGGCGTGAGCCACTGCACCTGGCCCCCCCTTTTTTTTTTTTGTTTTTTTTTTTATCCTTTTTTGTTTCTGTTTCTTTTTAATTTCTTTTTTCCTTTTAGAACTTGGTTTCAGCCAGGCATGGTGGCTCACGCCTATAATCCCAGCACTTTGGGAGGCTGAGGCAGGTGGATCACGAGGTCAAGAGATCGAGACCATCCTGGCCAACATGGTGAAACCCCATCCCTACTAAAAAATACAAAAATTACCTGGGCATGGTGGCATGCACCTGTAGTCCCAGCTACTCCAGAGGCCAAGGCAGGAGAATTGCTTGAACCCAGGAGGTGGAGATTGCAGTGAGCCGAGATTGCACCACTGCCCTCCAGCCTGGCTCCTGGCAGCAGAGCGAGACTCTGTCTCAAAAAAAATAAAATAAAATAAAAAATAAAAATAAGAACTTGGTTTCTTTCTTCCTTCCTACCCTTCTTCTCTCCTTCCCTCCTTTCCTCCTGCCTATTTTCCTTCTTATTTCATGAGTATGCCATCATGCCTGGCTAAATTTTTTATTTCTCGCAGTAGAGACCAGGTCTTGCTACATCCCCAGGGCTGGTGTCAAATTCCTGTGCTCAAGCAATTCTCCCATTTCCAGCTTCCCAAAAGGGTGAGATTACAGGTTTGAGTCACCATGCTCCATCCTGTTTTATTTTCTTCTTTTTCCTTTTCATTCTTTTTTTTTTTTTTTTAATTTTTTTGCCCTCTTTCTTCCTTGCTTTCCTTCTTTCCTTCATTTCTTTCTTTATTTTTTATTTATTTATTTATTTATTTTTAACCCAGAGTGGGTCGCACTGTGACCTGGATTGGGGGTGGAGGGGTTGGGGGAGGGGGAGGTGGGAAGCTCACAGACTTAAGATGCCAGAGGGACAGCTTCAGGCCTCGATTGCCACACATGGCCTGAAGGATGGACCTGGTGACTTCTTGGCCAGGCTGCTGGATGACCAGATGTGGGATGCCAGCTGTGGCCAGTAGTCGTGGCTGCTGGCCTCTTATTTGAGTGGACCAGGAATTGAAAACTTAAGAAGGAAGGTTGGTGGACCTAGAGGCCGGCCGTAGAGGTAGGCCCCTTTGGGGAGAATAAGGTTCCAACGGGGACAGCTTCAGGCCAAGAGCACCACACATGGCCTGTAGGGTGGACCTGGTGGGCTTCTGCCTCCAAGAGGCCACTGGCTGGCTTCTCATTCTAGCCACCAGGTCTACAGATGTTGACTAAGAGCATAGGACTTGGTCGCCAACTTGAAATGTTTCAGGTGGACCAGACGGCTCTCACTGGGGCAGTACTCCTTAGGTCCATCAGAAGAGTTCAGTGATGGCTCACTGCGGCCTCCACCTTCCTGAGCTCATCCAGGTGATCCTCCCATTTTGGTCTCCCAAATAGCTGGGGCTCTGGGGATCTTTCTGGGTTTTTGTTTTTGTTTTTTTCTCGCCCTACTTTGTGTTTGTTTTTGCAGTACATTGAGTTCTGGTTTTTTTTTTCTTTTTTCTTTTTGTTGTTGTCTCTCTCTCTCTCTCTCTCTCTCTCTCTCTCTCACACACACACACACACACACACACACACACACACACTCATTCCTGTACACTGAAGTTGCTGTTGTTTTAGATGTGTTTTACCCAGGCTAAAGTTCAGGTGCATGATCATAGTTCGTTGCAACCTCCACATCCCTGGGCTTGGCTGATGCTCCCGTCTCAGACCCGCCTTTCCCAATAGTTGGGACTAAAGGCATGTGCCACCACAACCGGCACTTTATTTTGTATATTTTACTTATCATTTTTATAGAGATGGGGTTCCATCATGTTTCCCAGGCTGATCTCAAACTCCTGCATCAAGAGATCTGCTGGCCTCGGCCTCTAAAAGTACTGAGCTTACACGCCTGAGACACCATTACTGGTTCTGTCTGTCTGTCTGTCTCTCTCTCTCTCTCTCTCTCTCTCTCTCTCTCTCTCTATATATATATATATATATATATATATATATATATATATCTGTTAAACAATCAGACATCTATCTATCTTTTTCTCTCTCTTTTTTTTTTTCAGTAGATACCTAGTCTTGCTATGTTTTTCAGGCTCTGATCATATGCATATATATATTTATTTATTTTAAACTTTATTATTATTATTATTATTATTATTATTTTTTTAAAGATGGGGTTTCACCATGTTGGTCAGGCTGGTCTTGAACTCCCGACCTCAGGTGATCCTCCAGCCTTGGCCTCCAAAGTGCTTGGATTACAGGCATGACCCACCACACGCAGCCTAAACTTATTTTTTAATATAGGTGTTGTCTCACCATGCAGGCCCCAGGATAGTCTCAAACTCCTGAGCTCCAGGTGTCCTCCCACCTTGGCCTCCCAAAGTGCTGGGATTATGAGGTACCATGCAGAGTCTGGTCATATTTTTGATGTGTTGATTCTTTCATCCCTGAACATTTGTGACAGTGTGATTATGACCTATGACTTATTCTGACACTGGAGTGAGTTGATGCTCCTGCCTCAGCCCAGCCAACAGAAGGGATTGTGACATATTGTCAAACCCAACACCAAGGTGATGTGACTATTCTACTGCCTTGGCACTTCCCAGAGCAAGCATTATGACATCACTGGGTCTTGTACTCAGGTGGTGTGAATCTTCTCTCTAGCCTTGGCTCTTCCACAGGGGACATTGTGGGTCCCACACATAGGTTATGTGACTCTTCTGCCTGTGCCCTGCCCATGTGGGCCATTGTGACATATTGCTGAGTCTAACACCCAGGTGAGGTGACTCTCCTGCCTGCCCCCTGGTCACAGAAGGGATTGTGACTTATCACTGGGCTCACCACCTAGCTAGGTAACTTTTCTCCTCTTCCTAGGTTTTGCCCACAGGGTTTATTGTGACATGTCACTGGGCCTAATACTAAGGTGACATTACTCTTGTCATGCCACTGCTCTCAGAAGGTGTGGGGATGCGTTGCTGGGCCCAGAACAAATGTGATATGAGACTCCTGCCTGGACCCTGCCTAGAAGATGCATTGTAACATATCTGGGGTCCTTTAACTATTTTATTTTATTTTATTTTATTTCAACTTTATTTTTGAGACAGAGTCTCCTCTGCCACCTGGGCTGGAATGCAATGGTGTTATCTCTGCTCACTTAAACCTTTGCCTTCTGGGTTCAAGTGAATCTTCTGCCTCAGCCTTTTTTTTCTTTATCTTTTTTTTTTTTTTTTTTTTTTTAAAGATGGGGTTTCACCATGTTGGTCAGGCTGGTCTTGAACTCCTGACCTCAGTTGATCCGCCCGCCTTGGCCTCCAAAGTGCTTGGATTGCAGGCGTGAACCATTATGCCCGGCCTGCCTCAGCCTTTTGACTGAGACCACAGGTGTGTACCACCACACCCAGCTAATTTTTTTATTTTCAGTAGAGAAGAGGTATCACCATGTTGGCCAGACTGATCTCTCAAACTCCTGACCTCAGCCAATTCGCCTGCCCCAACCTCCCATTGTGCTGGGATTACAGATGTGAGCCATTGCACTTGGCCCCCTTTGACTATTTTACGTGACTCTTCCCTCTTACCTGGGTGTTGCGCAAAAAGAGATTATGACATAACTTTGGGCCCAGCACCGAGATGATGTGACTCTCCTCTCCTGCCTGCACCTTGCCCACAGAAGAGAGAGTGATTTATTGCTGAGATTAGCATGATAGGATTCTTCTGCTGGCTCCCAGAAGTCACTGTAACATACATCTGGGCTCATCAATGAGACTGTGTGACTCTCACTGCAATCTCAGGCTCCCAGAGTGATTCTCCTGCCTTAGCCTCTCAAGTAGCTGGGATTACAGGTGATTACCACCACACCCAGCTAATATTTTAAGTAGAGATGGAATTTTGCCATGTTGGCCCAGATGATTCAACTCTGTTGTTTGGACCCTCTTCTTGGAATATTGTGACATATTGCTGGGCCCAGCATCTAGGTGATGTGACTCTTCTCTACTGTTTGATCTCTGCCCAAAAAGGAATTGTGACGTATCACTGGATCAAGAACCTAGATGAGGTGACTCTTCTCTCCAGACTGGGTTCTGCACACATTGTGTATTGAGACATATCACTGGGTCCAGGACCTAGGCGATGTGACTCTTATCCATGGGCTCTGTACTGGGGTGTTCGTTACATGTACTTGGCCCTAAACCCTAGGTCATATGATTCTTTTATTTTCCTGAGCTGCACTCACAGAGAGCATTTTGACATATTTTTGGGCCTATAATTTAGATGATGTGACACTCTCATGGGCCCTCCCCATAAATAATAGTCTGACATATTGCTGAGCCCAGTACATAGGTGATGTGACTCTTCTCTATGGCTTGGGATTTGCCAAAGCAGGGATTGTGACATGTTGCTGGACTCACCACTGATGTGTTATGACTCTCCTCTTCTGCCTAAGCCCTGCATGCGTTGTGTGTTGTGATTTACATGTGGATTCAGCACCTACGTGATACCACATTATGACATGGGAACTGCCCACAGCAGTATTATGGCATATCTCCTTTTCATCACCTAGGTGATGTGACCTTTTATTTTTCCTGTTGCTGGCATATTGTGGGTATAGCAACATATTACTGAGTTTAACACCTATGAGATGGGAGGCTTCTGCCTGAGCCCAGCACGTAAGTAGCCTTATGACATATTTTTGTATCCATTTTCCAGGAGATTTAACTCCCCTTTTCTGCCTGCATGCTGATCACTGGAAAGATTGTGATGAATCACTGGTCTCACCAATGAGATGATGTGTTTTTCCTGCCTGGTCCTTGCCCACAGATCATTGTAACATATCACGGTGCCTAGCATCCACGTGGTGTGGCTCTGCTGACTGTACTCTGCTTTCAGGAGGAGATTTTAACATATTCCTAATCAAGCACCCAGGTGGTGTGACACTTCTGCCCTGTCCTTGCCCTCAGAGAAGATTGTGACATGTCATTTCCCCAAAACACAGGTGATGTGAGTCTACTGGTCAGTCTCTATTCACTGGTGGGATTGTGATGCATATCTTGTCCAAACTTACAGGTGCAATAATGACTCATATCTTAAAACAACCAATAGCAGATACACTGTCTCTCATAGCCAGGGTCAGGAAAATGAGTAATGTCTTGGGTCTCCTCTTTGTATGAAGGTCATGAAGAGTTAACACTCTCACATACTGTGTAGAGTTGTCAAGAGGTACAGAGAATGTCCTAAAAGAACTCAGCACACAGGAGAGGTTGTGACACTCATGAATAGCCTTCCAACAGTAAAGACTGTCATCCTTCCCCATAAACACAGCTCACTGTTGAGGTTCTGAATCTCATATCCAGAGGCAGTAGAAAGTTGGAAAATTGAATCTCATAATTTGGTCCATTGAGAGATTAGTGTCTCTGACACCAAGATTGAGCACACCCATGAGTTGGTAACTTCATTAAAATGACACAATTTCCAGGACGGATTGAGGGTCTCATATACAAATTGAGACCATCATTGAGATTGTTACTCATGTACTTACCCAACATACAGAGGGTATTATGGCTCATATCTAGAACTAAGAAATGTGTGAAATTATTCATCTCATACCTTGATCTTCATGCATGTGTGATTGTGACATACACCTGCATAGCACCTGAGTGATTTGACTCTTCTGCCTGGTTCCTTTTGTATATTATGTATTGTGACATGTGTCTGGTTCTAACACCTTGGTGATGTGACTCTCCTGCATTGGACCTTCCCACAGAGGTGTTATAACATATCTTTTTATTCATCACCCAGGTGATATAATTCTGTTTTTCTTTCTGGGCCCGGCCAAAAGGGAAGTTTGTGGCATATCACCGGACCCAGCACCTAGGTGATGTGATTCTCCTATTTTTCCTGGGCCTCACATATTTTGGGTATTGTAAAATATTACTAGGTCCACCACCCACAGGATTGCATGTTCCTGCCTGGGCTTTGCCCACAGGGACCTTGTGACATATATCCATGACCTAAAAGATGTGATGCTTCTTGCCTGCACCATGCCCTGCACAGGAAAGATTGTGACATATCCCTGAAACCAAACATCAGGTGATGTGGCTCTTCTGTCTGTCTCTCTTCTTAGGGAGCATTGTGACATAGTGCTGAGCTCAGCACCCAGGTAATGTGACTCTTGCCTGTGCTGTGTTTTCAGGAGAGAATTCTAACATATTCCTGACTGAGCACCCAGGTGATTGACATTCCTGCTTCGTTCCTCATTCCCTTATGGAAGATTGTGAGATATCCTTGGCTGAAATCCCAGGTGATATGAGTCTCCCGCTAACTGCCTACCTACATATTAAATGATGGCATACACTATAGTCAGCTTTTTTTTCAGGACAACTTGCTGTGCTACAGTCAGCTTATGTGATGATGACTATCTTACCTCTAGTCAGCTATTAGAAGTAATACTGTCTCTCATATAAATGAGTCACATCTTTGGTCTTCTCTGTTTATGAAGGTCATGAAGAATTAGCACACTCCCACATGTTACATAATGCCCTCGATTGTTATAAAGAGTGTTATCCAGCTGGGCATGGTGGCTCACACCTATAACCCCAGCACTTTGGGAGGCTGAGGTAGGTGGATCACCTGAGATAAGGTGTTCGAGACCAGCCTGGCCAACATGGTGAAACCCGGTCTCTGGTAAAAATTTTTAAAAATTAAAAAAATTTAGTCAGGTGTGGTGGCTTACACCTGTAGTCTCAGCTACTCTGGAGGCTGAGGCAGAAGAATCGCTTGAACTTAGGAGGCGGGTTGCAATGAGTGGAGATTGCACCAGTACACTCCATCCAGCCTGGGTGGCAGAGCAAGACTCCGTCTCAAAAAAAAAAAAAGTGTTATCCCAGGGCACAGCACAAAGGTGACATTGTTTCTTATATGCACACCTCACCAATCGTTAGGATTATCACCTTCACACATGGAAAGAGCCCATTGCTGAGGTCTTAAATATCACATGCAAACACTGTCCACAGTTGGAATTGTGACTGTCATGTGAGCTTCCAGCCACAGTTGAGATGGTGACACATTTCTAAACTCAGAACATAGCAGATGAGGGGTCTACTATCTAAACTCAGCCAACTGGAGAGATTTTGCCTCTAATCCCTGTGCTTAGGGCCGCAAGTATGGTCATGAGCGCTTACAAACATGATTTTAGAGTAACTTGTGATTCTCATTTATACTGGATAAAGCCTTTGAGTGTAGTAGCCAGGCACGATGGCTCATACCTGTAATCCCAGCATTAGAAGGCCAAGGCGGGTGAATCACCAGGTCAGGAATTCGAGACCAGCCTGGCCAACATAGTGAAGCCTTGTCTCTACTAAAAATACAAAAAATTAGCTGGGCTTGGTGGTGGGCACCTAATGCCAGCTACTTGGGAGGCTGGGGCAGGAGAATCACTTGAACCAAGAGGCAGAGGTTGCGTTGAGTTGAGATCATGCCACTGCACTCCATCCCAGGTGACAGTGTGAGACTGTCTCAAAAAAAAAAAAAAAAAAGAAAAGTATACTAACAAGACCAAGCACACGGGGGGATTTTGTTTTTGCTTTTTTAAATGGAGTCTTGCTGTGTCACCCAAGCTGGAGGAATGGGAGTTTTCTCTCCTGGTTTGGTGCTGTCCACAATGAGCATTATGAAATATTGCTGCCATCTCTCCTAGGTTATGTTACTCTCCTGCCTCTGTTTTGCCCACATGAGTCATTGTGACATTATGACATATTGCTAGGTATAAAACCCAGGTAATGTAACGCTCTTGTTTGTGATATCATGACATAGCTTTGTGCCAATTACTCAGGTGATGTGAATCTTTTCACCTGCCTGGTTCTTGTTCACTGGGAGATAATGATACCTATTGCTGGTTTCAGCACTTGTTTGGGTTCTGCCTGCAGGAGCCATTGTCACATATCGCTGCTCATCACACAGGTGATATGACTCCCTTTTACTGCCTAGTCGCTTCTCACAAAATGTGACATATTGCTAGGCCCAGTATCTACCTAGTGTGACTCTTCTTTCTAGGTTCCATCTGCAGCAAAGATTGTAACATACTGCTGGGCCCAACAGCATACTCTTTTGCCTTGGGCCTGCCCTCAGAAGGCACTGTAACATACTCATGGGTCCAATGCCAAGGTAATGTATGTCTCCAGCCTGGTCTCTACCCACAGGGGGCATTGTGACATATCTCTTGGCCCATCAGATGTTTGATATTATCCCCTCCCCTCTCCTACCATGTGTTTGCCTATAAGAAACATTGTCACAAGTTTCTGGGCCCAGCACCTAGGTGATGTCTTCCTGAGACCTGTCCATATGGGAATTGTGATATATCGTGTGGCTCAGTACTGACTTGATATAACTCTCCTCTCATGCCTACGCCCTGCTCACGGGTGGGATTGTGACACATAGGTTGGCCTAGCCCCTTGGGTATGTTACACTCCTCTTATTCTCCAGTCATTTTCACAGGGGGCATTGTGACATATGGCTGGACTGAGAACTTAGGTGATTCGAATCTCTACTGCTTGAAATATATCCCAAAAGAGAGTTTGATATATGCTTGTCCAGTTTCCTAGGTGATGTTACTCTTTTCTCCTGCCTGAACCCTGCATACATTATGCATTTTGACACATCACTGGGGCTAACACCTAGGTGATGTAACTCTCCTGCATAAGGTTTGCATACAGGGGTATGACGATTATCTTTTCATTCATCACATAGGTGGTGTGACTCTCCACTTATGCCTGCGCCTTGATGAAAGAGAAATTGTGACATATCCCTGGACCTAGCACTTAGGGGATGTAACTCACCTTTATTGCCAGGGCATGGAATGATGAGTATTGTGACATATCTCTGGGCCCGACACCTAGGGGATGAGAGGCTCCTGTCTGGGCCCTGCCCACAGGAAGCTTTGTGGCATGTCTCTGGTCTCATTACCTAGAAAAATATTACTCTCCTCTTCTACCTGCATTCTTCTCACAGAAAAGATTGAGACATCACTGGATGCAGCAATTACAAGATGTTTCTCTCCTGCCTGAGCCTTGCCCACAGGAACATTGTGACATATCCCTGGGCTCAGCACTCAGGTGATGGGACTCTGCCACCTGTTCCCTGTCTACTTAGGCTTTTGTGAAGTATAGCTGGTTTCAATACCCAGGTGATGTACCTCCTGCCAGGCCACTGCCTTCCAGGGATATTGTGACATATCTTTGTGCTAATCACCCAGGAGATGTGAATCTTTTCACCTGCCTGGTCCTTGTTCACTGGGAGATGATACCTATTTCTGGTTTCAGCATTGAGTTGATGTAACTGCTTTCTAGGTTCTGCCCGCAAAAAAACTGACGTATCGGGGGTCCAAAGTGGCTCCCACCGGAGGTCATGGTGCTCGCGAAGGCGAGGTCATCAGTTCAAGGCTAACCTGAGCAACCTCATAAGCTCAAACTGATTGGCAAAAAAAAAAAAAACAAAAAAAAAACTGACGTATCACTAGGCCCATAAGCAAAGTTATTTTGCCTGGTCCTGCAAATTTTTAAAAGACATTATGACATACTACAGTGCCCAGCACCAATGTAATTTGTCTCCTGTCTAAACCCTGCCTACTGGAGACATGGTGTCATATCTCTTGTCCCATTAACTATTTGATGTAACTCTCCTTTTATTTTTCCTTTGAGAGTATCATAAGAGAACACAGCCCACTGGTGAGATAGTGTCTCTTGAATACACATGCAGGCAACAGTGAAGATTGTCATTCTCCCACATAAACACATCCCACTGTTGAAGTTCTGAATTTCACAGAGGCTGTCAAAAGTTGGATAATTGCTTCTCATGTTTTGATCTGGTCTACAGGTGGGCTGGTGACTTCCAGACCAAGATTGAGCACATACAAGGCTGTGACTGCACTAAGCAGACACAGTCTGCAGAAGCAAGTGTGGCTCTTTTGCACACATTCTGTCAATCTTGAGATTGTGACTCATGTACTTAGACCTAACATACAGGAGGTGTTGACTTTAATACCTTTAGAACCTGTACATGTATGGAATTTCTAATCCCTGGACTTTCCTGCATGTGTGATTGTATGAATCTGCGAAGCAACTTAGTGATTTGACTCTCCTGCTTTGGTGAAGCCCACAGATGAGATTGTGACATATCACTTGACTGTGCACCTCCAAAATGTAACTCTTTTTTTCCAGCCTCAGAGCTGCCCACAGGGTTCATTGACATATGCTGTTTTTAGTAGAGATGGGGTTTCACCACGTTGGCCAGGCAGGTCTTAAACTCCTGACCCCAGGTAATCCACTCACCTCGGCCTCCCAAAGTGCTTGAATTACAGATGTGAGCCACCACACCCAGCCTATATTTTTCATATTAAGTCATATTACTAGGGCGAACACCTATCAAGTGGGAGGCTGCCACCTGGGCCCTTTCTACATAGGGCCTTGTGACAAATCTGCATCAGTAACCTAGGAGATGTGACTCCATTTTTGCCTGTACTCTCCTCAGAAAAAATTGTGGCCGGCCCAGGTACCAGGTGATGTGTGTCTACTGCCTGGGCCTGGACCACAGAGAACATTGTTACTGATTGCTGGGCTCAGCACCCAGCTGATATAACTCCGCTGTCTGTGTTCTGCTTTCTGGAGAAGGTTGTAACTTATTCCTGGCTGAGTATTCCAGTGATGTCACTCTCCTGACTGATCTCTGCCCTCAGAAAAGGTTCTATCATATTCCTGGCCAAAGACTCAGATGATGTGACTCTACTCTCACCCTATCCTGCTTGTGAATAGGTAGAGAGGAGAGTTATATCATCTGAGTTTTTGGCAAGGAATAAATATAAATATTATACATATTATATTTATATATAAATTAAATATATAAATAATAAAATAATAAGTGTGTGTGTGTGTGTGTATACATATATATATATATATATTTTTTTTTTTTTTTTTTTTTTCCTGAGACAGAGTTTTACCCTGTCGCTCAGGCTGGAGCAGTGGTGTAATCTCAGCTCACTGCAACCTCTGCCTCCTGGGTTCAAGCAATTCTCCTGCTTCAGCCTCCCAAGTAACTAGGACTACAGGCATGAACTACCTCGCCTGGCTAATTTTTTTTTTTTTTTTTAAGAGACGGGGTTTCACCATGTTGGCCAGCCTGGTCTCGAACTCCTGACTTTGTGATCCACCCACCTCAGCCTCCCAAGATGCTGGGATTCCAGGCATGAGCCACCGCACCTGGCCTAATTTTTGTGTTTTAGATAGAGACAGGGTTTCCCAATGTTGGCCAGGCTGGTCTCGAACTCCTGACCTTGTGATCCACCCGCCTCAGCCTCCCAAAGTGCTGAGATTACAGGTGTGAGCCACTGCACCTAACTTGTAAAATATATCTTGACCTAGCTCACAGATGCAATGATTACTTTCATACCATCTAATAGGAGAGATGTTGTCTCTTATAACGAGGCCTAGGCTCATGAATGTGATCCTGGGTCTCCATGTACAAAGGTCATAAAGAATTACCACCTGCAGGCTGGGCATGATGACTCACACCTGTAATCCCAGCATTCTGGGAGGCTGAGGCAGGCAGATCACTAGTTCAGGAGATCAAGACCATCCTGGCCAATATGGTGAAACCTAGTCTCTACTAAAAGTACAAAAATTAGCTGGATGTGGTGGCTCATGCCTGTTGTCTCAGCTACTTGGGAGGCTGAGGCAGGAGAATCACTTGAACCTGGGAGGTGGAGATTGCAGTGAGCTGAGATTGTGCCACTGTACTCCAGCCTGGTGACAGAGCGAGACTGTGTCTCGAAAAACAAAAGACCATTTTCTTGTATACTAAATAACTCTCTTGTACAGAGAATATCATTACAGAGTTCAGCATACAAGTGAGATTGTGTTTCTCATATGCACTGCCCCCCAACCATTAGGATTGTCACCTTGACACATGGACACAGCCCACTGGTGAGGCCCTGAATCTCACACACAGTCTACAGTTGAAATTGTGAATATCATACATGAACATCTGGCTAGAATTGAAATGATGACTAATTTCTAAATCCACTTCATAAGCAGGTGAGAATTCTATCTGAACCAATGAGAATTCTCCCTGGGCTTAGGGCCAGAGCAAACAGTTCATGGAAGCGAAGAAAGCTCTCGGCTTTTGGGCCGGATGCCGTGGCTCACGCCTGTAATCCCAGCACTTTGGGAGGCTGAGGCGAGTGGATCACAAGGTCAAGAGATGGAGACCAAAACATGGTGAAACCCCGTCTCTACTAAAAATACAAAAATTAGCTGGGCATGGTGGCGCATGCCTGTAGTCCCAGCTACTCAGGAGGCTGAGGCAGGAGAATTGCCTAAACCCAGGAGGCGGAGGTTGGGGTGAGCTGAAATCACGCCATTGCACTCCAGCCTGGGTAAACAAGAGCGAAACTCCGTCTCAAAAGAAAAAAAAAAAAAAGCTCTCGACTTTGGTGAGATTGTCACTAGCGTACCTTAGACCCAACATAAAGAATGTGGTGATTCTCATACCTACAACTGGGATATGTGTGGGATTTATAATTTTTTACTGGACTTTCCTGCAGGCGTGACTGTAACATATGCCTTTGTTATGCACCTGAATGACTTGACTCTTTTGCCTTGGCCCAACCCAAAGTGAAGATTGTGGTATATCACTGGACCCAGCACCTCAGTGATGTCACTACTTTTTGGACCCCACAGATTTGGGGTATTGTTAAATATTGCTGGATTCTGCACCCAAGTTATGTGACTCTCCAACCTGTGTCCTGCATGTTGTGCCATATCACAGAACAGTATGTCACATGAGACATTGTTACGTACTGCTGGGCTCAACACCTGGGTGATGTAACATTTTCCTGGGCTGTGACTACAAGGGGTTTTGTGACATAACTGAATGCCTTGCATGATGATGTTACTCTCCTCCTGCCTGGTCTCTGCTCACAGAGAAATTGTGACATCATTGGCCTAGCATCTAGGTGATGTGACTCTCCTTTTTCTCAGGCACCACATATTTGGGTGTTGTGACATATCACTGGGCTCAACACCTAAGGGGTGGGAGTCGCCTACATGGCCCCTTCCCCTTCCTGCAGGTGGCATTGTGACATATCTCTGCATTTATTACCTTTTGTTTGTTTGTTTGTTTGAGACGGGGTTTCACCATGTTGGTCAGGCTGGTCTTGAACTCCCGACCTCAGGTGATCCGCCTGGCCACCTTTCTTTTTTTTTTTTAAGTTTCATTCTTGTTGCCCAGGCTGGAGTACAATGGTGCCATCACGGCTGACCACAACCTTTGCCTCCCGAATTCAAGCCATTCTGCCTCAGCCTTCTGAGTAAATGGGATTATAGGCATATGCCACGACACCCAGCTAATTTTGCATTTTTAGTAAAGACAGTTTCTCTATGTTGGTCAGGCTGGTCTTGAACTCCCGACCTCAGGTGATCCACCCATCTTGGCCTCCCAAAGTGCTGGGATTACAGGCGTGAGCCACCGCGCCTGGCCTGCATTTATTACCTAGGAGATGTGATTCTCCTCTTCTGCCTGTCCTTCTTTACCCTGCTTACAGGAAAAATTGTGGCATATTTCTGTGGCCAGCAACCAGGTGATGTTTCTCATGCTGGGTCTTTAATACAGGAAAGATGGTTGACATATTGCTAGCCCCAGCATCTAGGTGATGTGACTTTTCATCTGCCTGGTCCCTCCTTACAGGAACATTGTAGCATATTGCTATGCCCAGCACCTAGCTGATGTGACTTTTCTTTTAGGTTTTGCCTGGAGGAGACATTGTGGCATATTGCTGGGCACTGCACTGACATCATGTGACTCTTCTGTCTGTGGTTTGTCCACTTGGGCCATTGCGACATCTTGATGAGTTCAACATCCAGGTGATATAACTTTTATGCCTGGGTTCTGCCTGCAGAGAACATTTTTAAATGTCTTTGCACCAATCACACAGGTAATGTGATTTTCTTTTGTTACCTGCTCTCTGCTCACAGGCAGAATTGTGACCTTGGCCAGGTGTGGTGGCTCACACCTGTAATTCCTGCACTTTGGGAGGCCAAGGCAGGTGGATCACCTGAGGTCAAGAGTTCGAGGCCAGCATGAATACAAAAATTAACCGGGCATTAGCCGGGTGTGGTGGCACATGCCTGTAATCCCAGGAGATTGAACCCAGGAGACGGAGGTTACAGTGAGCTGAGATTGTGCCATTGCACTCCAGCCTGGGCAATAAGAGCAAAATGCCATGTCAAAAAAAAAAAGAGGGGGGCATGGTGGTGGGCACTTGTAGCACCAGCTACTCAGGAGGCTGAGGCAGGAGAATCACTTGAACTTGGGAGGCGGAGATTGCAGTGAGTCAAGATCGTGCCACTGCACTTCAGCCTGGATGGACAGGCTGGGTAACACAGCAAGATTCCATCTCAAAAAAAAAAAAAAAGAAAGAAAAAATTGTGACCTTCTGCAGCACATAGCTGATTTGACTGTGCTTTGTGGAGTATACCAAACAGGTTGTCAAACTGATGGTCCGTTTACCAAAATTTTATTTCCACGATGGTGTTGGAGTGGCAGCAGCAGAATCCATGCCTCTTCCTGGAGTGTGCCAGAGTCTGTGGTCCTGAATGTCTCACACATATGTGGCAGTTTATGTATAACGTTCTAATTAAGGCCACTGGTACAGAACCAGATTCAGACGTCTTCAGAAATAATGCATTCTTTTTTTTTTTTTTTTTTTTTTAAGATGGAGTCTTGCTCTGTTGCCCAGGCTGGAGTGCCATGGTGCAACCTCAGCTCACCACAACTTCCTCCCGGGTTCAAGCAATTCTCCTGCCTCAGCTTCCTGAGTAGATAGGATTAGATTACAGGTGCCTGCCGCCATGCCTGGCTAATTATTTTTATATCTTTTACTAGAGACGGGGTTTCACCATGTTGGTCAGGCTGGTCTCAAACTCCTAACCT